AGATAACTGTAAAATACAGCTATCCTCTACCTCTCATAGCTAGTATGACGAAGTCATTGCACGGGGCGCGCTTCTTCACAAAATTGGACCTCAGGAGCGTGTACAATCTGGTCCGTATCCGGGAAGGGGACGAGTGGAAGACAGCATTTAGTAGTACCTCGCCATGCCGTACGGGTTGATGAATGCTCCCTCAGTCTTTCAATCCTTTGTTGATGAGATTTTCAGGGATCTGCACGGACAGGGTGTATAGGTGTATATAGATGATATTCTCATCTACTCCGCTACACGCAATGAGCATGTGTCCCTGGTGCGCAAGGTGCTTGGTAGACGGTTGGAGCATGACCTGTACGTTAAGGCTGAGAAATGTCTGTTCTTCAAACAGTCTGTCTCTTTCTTAGGATACTGCCTGTCAGAGTCAGGGGTCGAGATGGAGTGTGACCGCATTTCAGCCGTGCGTAATTGGCCGACTCCTACCACGGTAAAGGAGGTGCTGCGATTTTTGGAGTTTGCCAACTACTACCGGAGATTTATCCGGGCTTTGGCCAGGTAGCAGCTCCCATAACCTCTTTGCTGAAGGGCGGACCGGTGCGCCTGCAGTGGTCAGCTGAGGCGGACAGGGCTTTTGGTAAGCTGAAGGCGCTGTTCACCTCGGCTCCCGTGCTGCCTCATCCGGATCCTTCCTTGCAATTCACAGTCGAGGTGGACGCGTCAGAGGCTGGGATAGGAGGTGTACTGTCTCAGCACTCGGTATGCCTCCCAAACTCCGCCCCTGTGCTTTCTTTTCGAAGAAGCTTTGCCCGGCGGAGCAAAATTATGATGTGGGGGATCGGGAGCTGTTAGCTGTTGTGAAAGCTCTTAAGGTGTGGAGACATTGGCTTGAGGGGGTAAAAAAACAATTTTCTCATTTTGAATGACCACCGCAATCTGGAGTACATAGGGGCAGCGAGGAGACTGAACCCTCGTCAGGCAAGGTGGGCCATGTTTTTCACGCGTTTTGTGTTCACCCTATCGTACAGACCAGGTTCCCAGAATGCTAAGGCAGACGCTCTGTCCCGGCTGTATGACTCAGAGGAGCGGACCAGGGAGCCCACTCTCATACTTCCGGCTTCTTGTCTGGTGGCACCGGTGGTATGGGAGGTTGACGCGGACATCGAGCGAGCATTACGCACGGAGCCCACTCCCCCCCAGTGTCCAGTGGGTCGTGTGTACGTTCCGTCTGAGGTTCGCAATCGTTTGATCTATTGGGCTCACACGTCACCCTCTTCTGGCCATCCTGGCATCGGTCGGACAGTGCGCTGTCTTAGTGGGAAGTACTGGTGGCCTACTTTAGCTCAGGACGTGAGGGTTTATGTTTCTTCCTGTTCGGTGTGCGCCCAGTGCAAGGCACCTAGACACCTGCCCAGAGGGAAATTACAACCTCTCCCCGTTCCACAACGGCCGTGGTCACACCTATCGGTGGACTTTGTTACAGATCTTCCTCCGTCACAAGGTAACACCACGATACTGGTCGTTGTGGATCGATTTTCTAAGTCCTGTCATCTCATTCCTTTGCCCGGTTTCCCTACTGCCCTACAGACCGCGGAGGCCCTGTTTACATACGTCTTCCGGCACTACGGGGTACCTGAGGATATAGTGTCTGATCGGGGTCCCAGGTTTACATCAAGGGTCTGGAAGGCGTTCATGGACCATCTGGGGGTCTCGGTCAGCCTGACCTCAGGTTTTCACCCCGAGAGTAATGGGCAGGTGGAGAGAGTAAACCAGGATGTGGGAGGTCATATTGCCAGGACCGGCAGTGGGATTGGTCAGTTTACATCCCCTGGGCAGAGATGGCACAAACTTCCCTCCGCCACTCCCCCAGTGACCTGTCTCCCTTTCAGTGTGTACTAGGTTATCAGCCTGTCCTGGCGCCATGGCATCAGAGCCAGATCGAGGCACCTGCGGTGGATGAATGGTTTCGGCGCTCGGAGGAGACATGGAACGCTGCCCATGTACGCCTGCAAAGGGCTATCAAGAGACAGAAGGCGAGTGCCGACTGCCACCGCAGTGTATGCACCGGAGGACCGGGTCTGGCTCTCGACCCGAAACCTGCCCCTTCGCCTGCCCTGCTGGAAGCTTGGTAAGCGGTTTGTGGGGCCCTTTAACGTCCTGAGGAGGTTGAACGAGGTTTGTTATAGGTTACAAGTCCCCCCTGATTACCGTATTAACCCCTCGTTCCATGTGTCTCTCCTCAGGCCAGTGGTAGCTGGTCCGCTCCAGGAGTCTGAGGTGCGGGAGGTTCCTCCGCCCTCATTTGACATCGAGGGTGCACCGGCGTACTCGGTCTGTCCCATTCTGGATTCGAGGGGTTGGGTTGGAGGCCTGCAGTATCTCGTGGAGTGAGAGATGTACGGTCCGGAGGAACGGAGCTGGGTTCCCAGGAGGGACATCCTCGACCCCTCCTTGTTAAGGGAGTTACATCGTCGCCATTCGACTCGCCCTGCTCCGCGTCCTCCTGGCCGTACCCGAGGCCGGTGTCGACGCACGGCTGGAGCCAAAAGGGCCTACCGTTGGCCTAGCAACCAAAAGGTTGCGAGTTCAAATCCCCAGGACGACACGGTGAAACATCTGTCGATGTGCCCTTTAGCAAGGCACTTAACCCTAATTGCTCCCTGGTGGCCGTTTATAATGGCAGATGCTGGCCATGACCCCACTCTCCTAGGATGTCTCAGGGGGAGTTGGGATATCCCCCCCCAAAAAAATCATTTCCAATTCCTGTATAATACACGTGTGAATAGGACAAATATAAGCACCCACCTAATTACTATTATTAGAAAAGCAAATTCATGCAGGACAAATATATTCTAATGATGGGAACCTAGATTTGAAACACTGATTTGCATAATGCATCTGCCCCACTGCTCTGGGAGTGTTTATATCCCTGTGAGTTTAACACTTCATGACTGAGAGCTGTCCTTCATGACAACAGAACCCACAACAACCATGACTTTTATCACCATCTTCATCTGGATTTTTGCCCTCTGTCTCCAAGGTAATATATTTTACAGAAAAGGACCTGGATCATAGCAATAAATATATAACCTCATTACAGTTTTAGTGAATATGCTAAATGGACAAATGAATGAACAATTTAATGCTAATGATACATGCCATCTCTGTTTCAGAGTCCAGAGGCCAGTACACTGTGACTCAGACACCTGCAGTGGAAACTGTTTCAGTGGGTCACTCAGTCAGTCTCAGCTGTAAGACCAGCAGTGCTGTATACAGTAACAGCAATGGACACTATCTAGCCTGGTATCAACAGAAACCTGAAGGAGCTCCTAAACTCCTAATATACTGGGCTAAAACTCTTCAGTCTGGGACTCCATCTAGATTCAGTGGCAGTGGATCTGGGAGTGACTTCACTCTGACCATCAGTCCAGGCTGAAGATGCAGGAGATTACTACTGTCAGAGTTTACACTACCCCAACAGTGTCTGGGTGTTCACACAGTGATACAGAGCCGTACAAAAACCTCCCTCAGTCAGACTGCACAGTGACTGTACTGCTACAGCTGGGACCTACTGCAGGTGCAGAGGGGGAAGAGACAGTGACATGGAACACTGGTCACTAAATGAGATCACCTGTGACGTGACGATGTGGTTAGAAAGGAATCATTCAGATCACATTACCATCATTAACATCATCATGGTTATGACTGATAGTATTTGTCATGGGCTCAAAGTGTATATAAAAGTGATTTGATCAGTGACGAAACTTTGAGTAAAGTTAGAAACCATCGGTCAGATCATATGTTCTCCATCATCATCATCAACAGTATCATCATCATCATCATCATATAATCATCATCACCACCATCATCATCATCATCCTCATCATCATCATCATCATCATCATCATCATCATCATCATCATCATCATCACCATCATCATCACCATCATCATCATCATCATCATCATCATAACCATCATCATCACCATCATCATCATCATCATCACCATCATCATCATCATCACCATCATCATCACCATCATCATCATCATGTCATGGTTGTGACTCATTACATTTGTCATAGCCTGAAAGTGCACCTATAAATGTTATTTGGTGCTATGAAACATACACAATACCAGTCCATATTCAAGTGAGGTGATGTTACAGTACATAAGCCCCCCTAGATAAAATCCCCATATTTAACTCTCAACCAAATATTGATGTGATCATCTAACATTATATTTTGATGAGCAGGTTACTGACTGTTAGATCTGTGAATGACACATGAAGCTGGGCTTGAATATGAGCCATATTTATGCACATATCCAATTTAAGTATGATATCCATTTATTACTGATTACTTATTTATCTGTTATGTCTCCCTCCCTGAATCCACTATAGAGGTAAAACCAGTCCACTCCCTAACATCTGGCCCAGTCCAGGGTATTTCAGACAGTGAAACTGTTCATCTGCTAGACTGGAAACTATGGGAGTGAAACTAAGATTTACATGGACAGGGCTGGGTGGTTCTGCTTGTCCCAAAATAGAACAGTACTGTCACCAGATGTTCACTCTGTCCCCAGGGGGTTGGAGGTAGATAACTAAGCAATGAGGTTTAGGTCAGATAGTTTTCAAAGAAACTGTGAATCAGGTTATATGCATATATTTCTATATCACTCAACAACATTTAAGATTAACGTCTATTTGGATTTATTGAAATAGACAATGAAAATATTTGTTCTTAAGGGAAATCTTTATTTTCCTCCATTAATCAAAGCATCAAAGCAAACATTCCTACAGTATCTAATAGTAATAAAACAGAACACATCACATCTAACACTGATACAACCTCAGTCTACAGAGAGGATTGGAACATGAACTCAAGCAAAGCCCTCTGTTAGTCTACATGTCAGTGATCAATAAGACAGAGAACATCTGATCTCAGAACAGAGTCAAAGAAGAGGAACCAGCAGCCTCTCCCCACAGGGGTGTGTGACTGAGGGGTCCTACCCAGAACAGTCAGCCCTCCTCAGGGTCTTGGTGACTGTACTCTGGGATTTCTGCTGGGCTTCACAGGTCACCTCTCCTGCCTTGGTCCACTCCTGGGCAGTGAGAGTCAGTGTGCTGCTCCAGCTGTACAGGCCGTCCTTCTCCTGGACCCCGGGACTGGTCTCCTGCTTCTTGCTGGTCCCGTCCACTTTCCAGCTCATGGTCCAGTCTGAGGGGAAGCCCTTGTTGGCCAGACATGTCAGTGTGGCTGTTGTTGTACTGGACAGCTCCTCACTAGAGGGGGGCAGGACGGTGAGGGTGGGGGCACTGTTACCTGGAACAAACAGAACACATCAACTATGTAACTTCATCAAGTACAGCTACAGTAAGAAAGTATCTACAGCAAAGGACACATCAAAATAAAGTGAATTGGAAATGCCTTTTAAATATGAATGTAGAAGTTAAATTGTTTAAAAGATGTGGAGAAAACACTAAAGTAATATGATACAAAACAGATTTATGAACCAAACAATTATAAAGTGGTTAAATAACTAGAGTTACTAGTCATATGGTATCAGTTACACGTCATACAGATATTGTTTAGGAATGGATCTGATCAGAATAGCCAACTCATATTCATAGTATATTCATCACATATCAACCATGTTAGATCATGAAGTCGGTTACAAACATAACTCAGACCCTTTGTCTTCACACAAACAGTGAAGGCTACCATGAACACAATGCAACAACGATGAATACTATATCAAATACTATAAAATAGTTATCATACCAGAATTTAGAGTTATAGTCTGCAATTTTACAAATCAGACAGACAAATAAACCTACAATTTATCGTTTTGATTCAATAACATTTTATTTGACAGAAGGCGCAGTCAAAAGCAATTTAAAAAACATTTTAAATATCTAGAATCGCAATGTTTTAATAGAGACACAATTTAAGAAAGTATATACCAAAACATTTTATCAGAAACAAATATCAAGAGAGCTTGTTACTTACTTCCAACATCAAGTCTGGTGCCGCTACCAAAAGTGTACCACAGTGATACAATCCCCTTTACTGCTCGTACAAAAACCTCCTGCACAGTGGGCAAGCTGAATTTCTTTAGACTTTCGTTCAAATAATTGACTCTACTATGGTATGAATACTTGCCAAGGATGATTGTATCTTGTTCATTTGAACTAGTTTATTATTTTATTTTATTTTTTAGATTTTGCAAAACCTGCTGTTTATTGTACATTTCCTACAAGGTGCAATATGTTGATTCATACAGCTAATCTAAAATGTAGACTAATCACTCTCATCGTTTAAAGGCAGGTCAAGTTGATTAGATGTAATAACATTCGTATTCTAATTGGACATATTATGTGTAAGCATTGTATATTTTTCCCCAAAATCATGGTAAAAAAATTATGTTAAAAAATCCTCAATATCGAGCCTAAATTGATAGAGAAATTGAAACAAGACATCAAAAGGTGAATAAAACAGTTAATTTTGTGTTTACTTACTTCCAACATCAAGTCTGGTGCCACTACCAAAAGTCCACCACAGTGATACAATCCCTATTACTGCTGGTACAAAAACCTCTCTGTGTTGTGATGCTGCAGCTGTTACAGTGAAGATCACTCATACAGAATCATCATCAACACAAATACACTTTAACATCTTCCAGGTAGAACAAACACTTCATATAAGCTGTTTCTAGATAATACAAATATGAATTGTGTCTTAAATCCAGGTATGAGTATTTTTTCCTTCTGTGTATCAGGTGTTCTCCTAGTCTGGAGGTGCAGTCCAGCATTAGATCCAGTGTTGCTAGTATTCTTCCATATTGTCCATATGAAAGACAACAGCAGCAGCAGTAGTGATAGTGATCCATGTTGTATATTCCTTTATTAAAGATGTTGATCTCACATTTAACAGTGGTGGTAAAGTCACAGAGGACAGACAACACTACCAGAGGAATCCTACCAGCTTTAGTTTAGAGAAGTGTTCACTAACTGATTAGAGGAACTTACATGAGAGACCAAGCATGAGTGAACAGACAGTTCATTATATCTGATCATCATCAGAATAAAAATACAATGGTGGTGTGACATAAAAGTTACCATGCATCAGTTATCTGAGTCAACAGTTGCTGTTTGATGTTATTAAAGGGGTAGCAGGTAGCTAGCGGTTAGGACGTTGGCCTAGTTATCGAAAGATTGCTAGTTCAAATCCCCAGGCCGACACGGTGAAACATCTGTCGATGTTCCCTTTAGCAATGCACTTAACCCTAATTGCTCCAGGGTCGAAGTTGATAATGGCAAATCTTGGCCGTGACCCCACTTTCCTAGGTTGTCTCAGGGGGAGTTTGGATATCAAAAAATAATAATAATCTAATTCACACATGTGTATAATACACACATGTACATGTGTGAAATAGTACAAATATAAGCACCCACCTAATTACTATTATTATAAAAGCAAGTTTATGCAGGACACACTATATTCTAATGATGGGAGCCTACTTGGAACCTGAAATAGATTTGAAGCATTCATTTGCATAATGCATCTGCCCCACTGCTCTGTGAGTGTTTATAGCCCTGTGAGTTTAACGCTTCATGACTGAGAGCTGTCCTTCATGGCAACAGAACCCACAACAAACATGACTTGTATCACCATCTTCATCTGGACACTTGCTTTCTGCTTTCAAGGTTAACATTTTCAGAAATTATTGTTGAAAATAAATGTAATCTACATCATCCACATGTGTATCAATGTTAATATTTCCACTCAGAAGTATTCATTACCATATGTAATATTTCATTCATATAAATGTTTTCATTCTATTTTTCAGAATCCAGAGGACAGTACACTGTGACTCAGACTCCTGTGGTGAAAGCTGCTCTCCCAGGACAGACAGTCTCTCTGAACTGTAAAACCAGCAGTAATGTGTATGACAATAACTATCTAGCCTGGTACCAACAGAAACCTGGAGGAGCTCCTACACTCCTTATTTACTATGCTACAACACTTCAGTCTGGGACTCCATCTAGATTCAGTGGCAGTGGATCTGGGAGTGACTTCACTCTGACCATCAGTGGAGTCCAGGCTGAAGATGCAGGAGATTACTACTGTCAGAGTTTACACTGGCCTGGTAGCACTCAGTGGTTCACACAGTGATTTAGAGCCATACAAAAACCTCCCTCAGTCAGATGTATCTTTATTTTTCCAGGCTAGTCTCATTGAGATTAAACATCTATTTTATAAGAGAGGCCTGGACAAAATAGCAGCACACAAAGCTTTACACACAATTTACAACATAAAACACAAAGCAGTTTTAAACCATACATTGACACATTGAGAAGGCAATAATTACTTGGGGAGATGTGCTGCATCTAGGGGTCAAAACATTGACAGCCCCCCACTTAAATGTCCACCATGGTTTTTACCCTAGCTACAGTAGTCAATCAAAGAGATGAGCTCCTGCAATTTCATGTCCCTTTGAAGCTCCTTCCAAGTGGAAGGGCCAGAGAACTGGAACACTTTTTTTACCCAGCTCTGTACAGGCCTCAGGCACAGTCAACAAGACACAGTCATGTGTAGACGGTAGTTGTAATTTGTCTGCTGGACAATTTAGGTTCACAGGTCAAATGGGAGCTATTACTAGTCCACATGAGAAGCCAAACAAAAGGTGTTATGACCTCAACATTACTTAAAAGTTACAATCACTTCAGCCCCACCAAAACAAGTTCCCAAATTGACCTCACAACCAAATGTCTAATTTTAATGGATGTATAAATCTACAGCAAAATATTAACTTTTTGTCCCGAGTAGGTTACTGACTGCTAGACCTGTGAATGAGACCTGATGCTGGACTCAACCATGAGACACATGTACACTACATACACTATCTACACTTCACTATCTACACTACACTATCTACATTATCTACACTTCACCATCTACAATATCTACACTATTTACATACACTATAAACACTACACTATCTACACTATATACACTATCTACATAAACTATAATACTCATTTTTTTCTGTCATTAATTACATGATGGCATATCTGTTATGTCTCCCTTCCTGAATCCACCATAGAGGTTAAAACCAGTCACTCCCTCACATCTGGCCCAGTCCAGGGTATTTCAGGCAGTGAAACTGTTCAACTGCTAGACTGGTAGCTGTGGGAGTGAAACTGAGATTTACATAGACAGGGCTGGGTGGTTCTGCTTGTCCCAGAATAGAGCAGCACTGTCACCAGATGTTCACTCTGTCCCCAGGGGGCTGGAGGTAGAGAAGATCTGGGGAAATGTAATGAAGTGTAGACTACACATTGTTGAAAACCATTGCTACAACATCTAATTGAATAAAATCATATTAGGAATTAAACATTAAAAATATACATATTTTATGGAGAGTAACTATTTAGAAGTGTGGGTTCTGAGAGCAGATCTTAGAGGTTTATTATCAAATACCACTAATTATCATCACTGGTATTGATGCTACAGTATAACAGGATAATTCAGTTGTAGAAATGATTGCAGAGTATTTGTTGGATCAGATGCCCGTTTAATTCTGTTTGAAAACATGAGAGTAGCTATATGCTACAATGCTGAAATTATGAAAGAAGCTGATTGATCTAAATTAGTATGAAATGTACTGCCTATTCATGAGATAGTGATCACTGGAATCATGATTAAATCAACTCTTGGGGTTATATTTAAAGCAAAACAAGCTTTATTTAAACTCAGAGGCAAGAAGACATGCACAACTTAATCTCAAAATAGTTCATTTAGCACATAGCACTACTGATATTATTCACTATATACTATAACATTCAGCTCTGAAACACTAATGTTTCCAGAACTAGCACCATGTGGGGACTCTCTAGCCTCCTACAATGGCTTCTAGACACTACAGTGACTTCTTCGGAAGGCGGCTGAATCACTGGTGTCGTCATGGGTAACCCTGCAGGTGTACACCTCTCCCTCTTCCCAGAGTGCCTTGCTCAGGGTCAAGGTGCTGCTGTGGCTGTAGTGGCTACCCTTCTCTTCTTCTGTGGTGGTGAGGACCCCCCCCCCCTCTGTTACCTCCGCCCATGCACCTCCCAGCTCACCATCGCCCCCTGGGGGGAGTAGCCACTCAGCAAGCAGGTCAGTGTGGCCGAGCCCCCGGAGAGCTGCTCAGAGGACGGGGGGAGCAGAGACACTGTGGGCCTGACAGAGGGACCAGCTGGAGGAGAGAAGAGAGGAGGGTCAGCTACTACTACTCTATAATGGAATATATTAGGAGAGAAGAGGAGAGGAGAGGAGAGGAGAGGAGAGGAGAGGAGAGGAGAGGAGAGGAGAGGAGAGGAGAGGAGAGGAGAGGAGAGGAGAGGAGAGGAGAGGAGAGGAGAGGAGAGGAGAGGAGAGGAGAGGAGAGGAGAGGAGAGGAGAGGAGAGGAGAGGAGAGGAGAGGAGAGGAGAGGAGAGGAGAGGGTCAGCTACTACTACTACTACTACTACTACTACTACTACTACTACTACTACTACTACTACTACTACTCTATAACGTTAGGAGAGGGGAGAAAAGACTCTGTGTTATCAGTGAACAAACCCATTTCAGATCAACAACACACACAGGATAAACAACTAGCTACAGTACAGAGACTAACAGAGAACAACGAAACACTGAATCTATTAAAATAAACATCAATGAAAAACACTGGATGGATTTTTAGACAAAACTATATATTAGATAAATGTATGTTACATTCATGCTCTACAGTTTATCAAACCAAGAGCAACAAAACACTAGGAGGGGGTTTCCCGGACACAGATGAAGCCTAGACCTAGACTAAAAATCACTTTCATATAGTCTGGATACAGTTGACCTGCAATACTGTACAGGATATAATGTCGCTGGAGGAGAGATGGCTGCCGTTTTACGGGCTCCTAACCAATTGTTCTATTGTGTGTGTTTTTTCACGTTATTTCTAACTTATTTTGTACATCATGTTTCTGCCACAGTCTCTTATGACCGAAAAGAGCTTCTGGATATCAGGACAGTGATTACTCACATCGTACTGGACGAAAAAAATTTCTTTAACAAGTCGGACGTGAAGGATTTACTTCAGACACCCGACAAGGCCCAAATCCCCGCCATTCGCATGAAGTAGAGACGGTGATATCGGGGACATAGGTCAGGGTGCCTTGTAAGTATCCAACGGCGAGTGGGTAATCTGCCTCTATCATCAGTCCTGTTAGCCAACGTACAATCATTGGATAATAAAATGGATGAGCTCCGATCAAGAATATCCTACCAACAGGGCATTCAAAACTGGAATATCTTATGTTTCACCGAGTCGTGGCTGAACGACAACATGGATAACGTACAGCTGGCAGGGTTTTCGGTGCATCAGCAAGATAGAACAGCTGCCTCCGGTAAGACAAGGGGTGGCGGTATGTGTATATTTGTAAACAACAGCTGGTGCACTAAATCTTCTATCAAGGAAGTCTCAAGGTTTTTCTCGCCTGAGGTAGAGTATCTCATGATAAGCTATAGACCACATTATTTACCAAGAGAGTTTTCATCTATATTTTTCGTAGCTGTCTATTTACCACCACAAACCGATGCTGGCACTAAGACCACACTCAACGACCTATATAAGGCCATAAGCAAACAAGAAAATGTTCATCCAGAGGCGGCGCTCCTAGTGGCAGGGGACTTTAACGCAGGGAAACTTAAATCCGTTTTATCTCATTTCTACCAGCATCTAAAATGTGCAACCAGAGGGAAAAAAACTCTAGACCACCTTTACTCCACACACAGAGACGCGTACAAAACTCTCCCTCACCCTCCTTTTGGCAAATCTGACCATAATTCTATCCTCCAGATTCCTGCTTACAAGCAAAAACTAAACAGGAAGTACCAGTGACTCGCTCAATACAGAAGTGGTCAGATGACGCAGATGCTAAGCTACAGGACTGTTTTGCTAGCACAGACTGGAATATGTTCTGGGATTCTTCCGATGGCATTGAGGAGTACACCACATCAGTCACTGGCTTTATCAATAAGTACGTAAATGAAGTTGTCCCCACAGTGACCGTATGTACATACCCCAACCAGAAGCCATGGATTACAGGCAACATCCGCACTGAGCTAAAGGGTAGAGCTGCCGCTTTCAAGGAGCGGGACTCTAACCCAGAGGCGTATAAGATATCCCACTATGCCCTCCGACGAACCATCAAACAGGCAAAGCGTCAATACAGGACTAAGATTGAATCGTACTACACAGGCTCCGACGCTCATTGGATGTGGCAGGGCTTGTAAACTATTACAGACTACAAAGGGAAGCAGAGCCGCGAGCTGCCCAGTGACACGAGCCTACCAGACAAGCTAAATTACTTCTATGTTCGCTTTGAGGCAAGCAACACTGAAGCATGCATGAGAGCATCAGCTGTTCCGGACGACTGTGTGATCACGCTCTCCGTAGCCGATGTGAGTCAGACCTTTAAACAGGTCAACATTCACAAGGCCGCAGGGCCAGAGAAATTACCAGGACATGTACTCCGAGCATGCGCTGACCAACTGGCAAGTGTCTTTACTGACATTTTAAACCTGTCCCTGACTGAGTCTGTAATACCAACATGTTTCAAGCAGACCACCATAGTCCCTGTGCCCAAGAACACTAAGGTAGCACTCACGTCTGTAGCCATATTGTGCTTTGAAAGGATGGTCATGGCTCACATCAACACCATTATCCCAGAAACCCTAAACCCACTCTAATTTACATATGGCCCCAACAGATCCACAGATGATGCAATCTCTATTGTACTCCACACTGCCCTTTCCCACCTGCCAAAAGGAACACCTACGTGAGAATGATATTCATTGACTACAGCTCAGCGTTCAACAACATAGTGCCCTCAAAGCTCATCACTAAGCTAAAGACCCTAGGACGAAAAAATGTTCTTTAACAAATCGGACGTGAAGGATTTACTTCAGACACCCGACAAGGCCCAAATCCCCGCCATTCGCATGAAGTAGAGACGGTGATATCGGGGACATAGGTCGGGGTGCCTTGTAAGTATCCGACGGCGAGTGGGTAATCTGCCTCTATCATCAGTCCTGTTAGCCAACGTACAATCATTGGATAATAAAATGGATGAGCTCCGATCAAGAATATCCTACCAACAGGGCATTCAAAACTGTAATATCTTATGTTTCACCGAGTCGTGGCTGAACGACAACATGGATAACGTACAGCTGGCAGGGTTTTCGGTGCATCAGCAAGATAGAACAGCTGCCTCCGGTAAGACAAGGGGTGGCGGTATGTGTATATTTGTAAACAACAGCTGGTGCACTAAATCTTCTATTAAGGAAGTGTCAAGGTTTTTCTCGCCTGAGGTAGAGTATCTCATGATAAGCTATAGACCACATTATTTACCAAGAGAGTTTTCATCTATATTTTTCGTAGCTGTCTATTTACCACCACAAACCGATGCTGGCACTAAGACCACACTCAACGACCTATATAAGGCCATAAGCAAACAAGAAAATGTTCATCCAGAGGCGGCGCTCCTAGTGGCAGGGGACTTTAACGCAGGGAAACTTAAATCAGTTTTATCTCATTTCTACCAGCATCTAAAATGTGCAACCAGAGGGAAAACAACTCTAGACCACCTTTACTCCACACACAGAGACGCGTACAAAACTCTCCCTCACCCTCCTTTTGGCAAATCTGACCATAATTCTATCCTCCAGATTCCTGCTTACAAGCAAAAACTAAACAGGAAGTACCAGTGACTCGCTCAATACAGAAGTGGTCAGATGACGCAGATGCTAAGCTACAGGACTGTTTTGCTAGCACAGACTGGAATATGTTCTGGGATTCTTCCGATGGCATTGAGGAGTACACCACATCAGTCACTGGCTTTATCAATAAGTACATAAATGAAGTTGTCCCCACAGTGACCGTATGTACATACCCCAACCAGAAGCCATGGATTACAGGCAACATCCGCACTGAGCTAAAGGGTAGAGCTGCCGCTTTCAAGGAGCGGGACTCTAACCCAGAGGCGTATAAGATATCCCACTATGCCCTCCGACGAACCATCAAACAGGCAAAGCGTCAATACAGGACTAAGATTGAATCGTACTACACAGGCTCCGACGCTCATTGGATGTGGCAGGGCTTGTAAACTATTACAGACTACAAAGGGAAGCAGAGCCGCGAGCTGCCCAGTGACACGAGCCTACCAGACAAGCTAAATTACTTCTATGTTCGCTTTGAGGCAAGCAACACTGAAGCATGCATGAGAGCATCAGCTGTTCCGGACGACTGTGTGATCACGCTCTCCGTAGCCGATGTAAGTCAGACCTTTAAACAGGTCAACATTCACAAGGCCGCAGGGCCAGAGAAATTACCAGGACATGTACTCCGAGCATGCGCTGACCAACTGGCAAGTGTCTTTACTGACATTTTAAACCTGTCCCTGACTGAGTCTGTAATACCAACATGTTTCAAGCAGACCACCATAGTCCCTGTGCCCAAGAACACTAAGGTAGCACTCACGTCTGTAGCCATATTGTGCTTTGAAAGGCTGGTCATGGCTCACATCAACACCATTATCCCAGAAACCCTAAACCCACTCTAATTTACATATGGCCCCAACAGATCCACAGATGATGCAATCTCTATTGTACTCCACACTGCCCTTTCCCACCTGCCAAAAGGAACACCTACGTGAGAATGATATTCATTGACTACAGCTCAGCGTTCAACAACATAGTGCCCTCAAAGCTCATCACTAAGCTAAAGACCCTGGGACTAAACACCTCCCTCTGCAACTGGATCCTGGACTTCCTAACTGGCCGCCCCCAGGTGGAAAGGGTAGGTAACAACACATCTGCCAAGCTGATCCTCAACACGGGGGTCCCTCAGGGGTGCGTGCTCAGTCCCCTCCTGTACTCCCTGTTCACCCATGACTGCATGGCCAGGCACGACTCCAACACCATCATTAAGTTTGCCGACAACACAACAGTGGTAGGCCTGATCACCGACAACGATGAGACAGCCTATAGGTAGGAGGTCAGAGGCCTGGCTATGTGGTGCCAGGATAACAACATCTCCCTCAACGTGATCAAGACAAAGGAGATGATTGTGGACTACAGGAAAAGGAGGACCGAACACGCCCCCATTCTCATTGACAGGGCAGTAGTGGAGCAGGTTGAGAGCTTCAAGTTCCTTGATGTCCACATCACCAACAAACTATCATGGTCCAAACATACTAAGACAGTCATGAAGAGGGCAAGACAAAGCCTATTCCCCCTCAGGAGACTGAAAACATTTGGCATGGGTCCTCAGATCCTCAAAAAGTTATACAGCTGCACCATTGAGAGCATCCTGACTGGTTGCATCACCGCCTGGTATGGCAACTGCTCGGCCTCCGACCGCAAGGCACTACAGAGGGTAGTACGTACGGCCCAGTACATCACTGGGGCCAAGCTTCCTGCCATCCAGGACCTCTATACCAGGCGGTGTCAGAGGAAGGCCCTAAAAATTGTCAAAGACTCCAGCCATCCTAGTCATTGACTGTTCTCTCTGCTACTGCACGGCAAGCGGTACCAAGTCTAGGAGCAAAAGGCATCTTAACAGCTTCTACCCCCAAGCCATAAGACTCCTGAACAGCTAATCAAATGGCTACTCGGACTATTTGCATTGTCTTCCCCCCTCCCCCACCCCCTATTTTACGCTGCTGCTACTCTCTGTTTATTACATATGAATAGTCACTTTACCTCTACCTACATGTACACTACCAGTAAAAAGTTTGGACACACCTATTCATTCAAGGGTTTTTCTTTATTTGTACTATGTTTTACATTGTAGAATAATAGTGAAGACATCAAAACTATGAAGTAACACATATGGAATCTTGTAGTAACCAAAAAAGTGTTAAATTATATTATTCAAATAGCCACCCTTTGCCTTGATTACAGCTTTGCACACTCTTGGCATTCTCTCAACCAGCTTCATGAGGTAGTCACCTGGAATGCATTTAAATTAACAGGTGTGCCTTCTTAAAAGTTAATTTGTGGAATTTATTTCCTTCTTAATGTGTTTGAGCCAATCAGTTGTGTTGTGACAAGGTAGGGGGTATACAGAAGATAGCCCTATTTGGTAAAAGACCAAGTCCATATTATGGCAAAACCGCTCAAAAAAGCAAAGAGAAATGACAGTCCATCATTACTTTAAGACATGAAGGTCAGTCAATACGAAAATTTCAAGATCTTTGTGCAGTCGCAAAAACCATCAAGCGCTATGATGAAACTGGCTCTCTTGAGGACCACCACAGGAATTGAAGACTCAGAGTTACCTCTGCTGCAGAGGATAAGTTCATTATAGTTACCAGCCTCAAGAAATTGCAGCCCAAATAAATGCTTCACAGAGTTCAAGTCACAGACACATCTCAACATCAACTGTTTCAGAGGGGACTGTGTGAATCAGGCCTTCATTGTCAATTTGCTGCAAAGAAACCACTACTAAAGGACACCAATAAGAAGAAGAGACCTGCTGGGGCCAAGAAACACAAGCAATGGACATTAGACCGGTGGAAATGTGTCCTTTGGTCTGGAGTCCAAATTTGAGATTTTTGGTTCCAACCACTGTGTTTTTGTGAGACGCAGTTTGGGTGAACGGATGATCTCCGCATGTGTAGTTCCCACCGTAAAGCATGGAGGAGAAGGTGTTATGGTGTGGGGGTGCTTTGCTGGTGACACTGTCTGTGATTTATTTAGAATTCAAGGCACACTTAACCAGTATGGCTACCACAGCATTCTGCAGCCATACGCCATCACATCTGGTTTGGGCTTAGTGGGACTATCATTTGTTTTTCAACAGGACAATGACCCAACACAACTCCAAGCTGTGTAAGGGCTATTTTACCAAGAAGGAGAGTGATGGAGTGATGCATCAGATGACCTGGCTCCACAATCCCCGACCTCAACCAAATTGAGCTGGTTTGGGATGAGTCGGATGGCAGAGTGAAGGAAAAGCAGCCAACAAGTGCTAAGCATATGTGGGAAGTCCTTCAAGACTGTAGGAAAAGCATTCCCGGTGAAGCTGGTTGAGAGAATGCCAAGAGTGTGCAAAGCTGTCATCTAGGCAAAGCATGGGTATTTGAAGAATCTCAAATCTAAAATATATTTTGATTTGTTTAACACTTTTTTGGTTACTACATGATTCCATATGTGTTATTTCATAGTTTCGATGTCTTCACTATTATTCTGCAATGTAGAAAATAGTATTACCTCAATTACCTCGACTAACCGTCTCCCGAGTGGCGCAGTGTCTAAGGCACTGCATCGCAGTGCTAGCTGTGCCACTAGAGATCCTGGTTCAAATCCAGGCTCTGTCGTAGTCGGCCGCGACCGGGAGACCCATGGGGTGGCACACAATTGGCCCAGCGTCATCCAGGGTAGGGGAGGTAGTGGCCGGCAGGGATGTAGCTCAGTTGGTAGAACATGGCGTTGTGGGTTCGATTCCCACGGTGGGCCAGTATGAAAAATTCAAAAAATAATGTATGCACTCACTAACTGTAAGTCGCTCTGGATAAGAGCATTGACTAAAATGTAAATGTAACCGGTGCCACTGCACTTTGACTCTGTACCGGTACCCCCTGTATATAGCCTCACTGCTGTTCATTAATATATATTTTTTCCTCAGTTTTTCTTCTATTTTGTTCTTTTTTTTTTACTTATCAATTTTTTACTTAACACTTATTTTTCTTAAAACTGCATTGTTGGTTAAGGGCTTTTAAGGTAGCATTTCACTGTAAGGTCTACACCTTTTGTATTCGGCGCATGTGACAAATACAATTTGATTTGATTTGATTTGATTAAAAATTCACCATTTTAAATAAGACACAACACTTTGTACCGTATGAATACAGTACAAAGTGTTGCTTACATTATAGAAATAGTAGTTACATCTCGACAGAACAATGAGCTGACCTGCAATACTGTATATCAAAAGATGCTCTTTTTTAATCGCACATTAGAATACTTTTATTGCCGAATTTACTTGGTGGTAAATGAGCAATTATTTCAGTTCGGTGACTCCGCCGTCTAAAAATCTAAGAATTTGTCCACAGAAATCTCTAAAAATATATACCCTAAAAGTTTTCCCTCTGGAGAAGATGACAACATCTCACAACGTTGCTCAATAGCATGATTACATTTAGTTTTATGAGAGAAAGACAAAAATTGACTTAATTTTCAGCACCAGTTTTGTGCCGCTTCTAAAAGCTTCCACAGTGATTCATTCTGGTGAAGTCGCCGTACAAAAACCTCCTTCACAAAAGAGTGAGCACCTTCATACACAGAGCACTCTCAGTACCACCCGAATAGTACTGGAATACTAGTATAATACAATAGAGACTGACAGTACTGAAGTACTATTATAATAAAATAGGGGCTGAATGTACTGAAGTACTACTATAATACAATAGGGACTGATAGTTCTGGGTTATGAGTATAATAAAATAGGGACTGATAGTACAGAGGTACTGTCACGACTCCCTCCGAAGCTGCCTCCTCTCCTTGTTCGGGCAGGCTTTGGCGTTCGGTGTCACCGTTCTTCTAGCCAATGCTAATCCTGTTTTCATCATTCCATTTGTTTTGTCTTGTTTTTCACACACACCTGGTACATATCCCCTCATCAGTCTCTGTATAATTATTCCCTCTGCTCCCCATGTCTTTGTGTGTTATTGTTCCATGTGGAGGTGTCCCTAGCTCGTGTTGAGCATTATGTTACCTTTATCGCCGGGATATTCACCCGTGTGTTTTGTTTATCCCAGTACGCATTTAAGTCGCACTGTATTTGGTTTAATCATTGCTGTGGACTGCTGTATTGGCCTAATAAACCTCCTGCGCCTGGCTCCGTCCTAATCAACTTGTTACAGAATAACACACCCAAACAGCATGGAGTCAGCAGGAGCGGGGAATATGTCTGGTGTCATTGAGCGGGTCCGGGAGCATTCCACCATGTTAGCCAGCTAGGGCGAAGCGATGGATCGGTTTCTCCAGGCCGTCCAGCGCCTGGAGAAGAGAGGATATGACCATGCGGAACCAGCTGAGCGACCGGATCAAGCCACCCACACACCAGCAACCAGTGGTATTCACCTGTCTCTACCGAGGGAATACGACGGGACAGCTGCCCGCTGCCAGGGTTTTCTCCTGCAGCTGGACCTCTACCGGATCGGGAGGAGGTGTCCGCCCTCATCTTCTGCCTCTCGTGGAAAGCCCTGGAGTGGGCCAATGCGGTCTGGAGTGAAGGAGGAGAATCGTTGGACAGCTACGGAGAGTTCGCTCGCCTCTTCTGTGCAATCTTTGATCATCCCCCCGAAGGAAGAGAGGAGGGCGAGCGTCTGTTCCATCTGAGGCAGGGGACGAGGACCGCGCAAGACTTTGCCCTGGAGTTTAGAACCCTAGCGGCTGGGTCCGGGTGGAACAAGCGGTCCCTCATCAACCATTTCCGATGCGGCCTGCATGAGGACGTCCGAAGGGAGCTAGCCTGCCGGGATACCACTCTGACCTTCGACCAACTGGTGGACATGGCCATCCAGTTGGACAACCTGCTGGCTTTGAGAGGACGTCCTGGAAGGGGCCTGCTCATTTCAACCCCCTCACCCCGGCTCACGTTCAAATAGAGCTGGGTGGTGCAGCATTCCGGGAGAATGGAGGACGACAGACCCAGTGTCACTCTTGTTGCAGAAGAGGATATTCTGCTGCACGATGTTGTCAGAGATCTTCTGGTTCTGGAGGCGGAAGGCAGGGCACTCTCATGTCACCCAAGGTAGCACAAACCCACACTCGTTCAGAGCCCTCTGCTGCGCATTTAACCATCCACGTCAACTTCCGTGATTACACGTGTCACGCCCTGACTCTGGGGACTCTTATTTGTTGAGTCAGGGTGTGATTTTCTATGTTGTATTTTCTATGTTTGTGATCTAGGTTTTGTAATTCTATGTTTGGCCGGGTGTGTTTCCCAATCAGAGGCAGCTGTCGCTCGTTGTCTCTGATTGGGGAGCATACTTAGGCAGCCTATTGGCAATTAAGTGTTGCGGGATCTTGTTCCGTGTGAGGTTTGTTGTGTGTACCTTAGGACGCCACGTGTCGTTGGTTTATTGTTTTGTCGTTGTGTTTATTCGTTAAATAAACTTGTATGCATATCACGCTGCGCCTTGGTCTGACCCGTCTATGAACGAACGTGACAACACGGTAGTGCCCTAGTGTAAGGCGCTGGTAGATTCAGGTGCAGTTGGGAATTTAATGGACAGATCTTTAGCTCTTAGTCTACATATTACATTGATTCCCCTGTCTATTCCATTGCCCGTCAAAGCACTTGACAATCAACCTTAGGGTCAGGTTTTGTTAGGGAGGATACAGCACCAGTCACTATGATTACGCATGAGACACATAATGAGCAAATCACGTTTCATATTATTGAGTCCCCTGATTTCCTTGTGTGTTGGGCCTTCCCTGGCTAGCACTACACGACCCCACCTTTTCATGGCCGCAGAGGGCTCTCACGGGGTGGTCGTGAGAGTGTCAGGGTAGGTGTCTAGCTGTTTCCGTTGGTGCGACCACAGTGGAAAGTCCAGACAATGCCTCCACCGTGCGCATTCCCCCCGAATACCGTGACCAAATTACCACCCCATCGCCCGGGGGATTGCGCGATAAACCTACGGTTAGACGTTGTGCCGCCCAGGAGTCATATATTTCCCCTGTCGCAGGCTGAAATGGAGGCTATGGAAACATACGTCTCCGAGTCCCTGCATCAGGGGTTCATACGTCCCTCCACTTCACCCGCCTCCTCGAGTTTCTATTTTCGTAAAGAAGAAAGATGGGGGTCTGCGCCCTTTCATTGATTACCGTGCACTTAATAAAAATGTATTTCACTATAGTTATCCTCTACCCCTAATTTCCTCTGTGATCGAATCAATGCATGTGGTGCGCTTCTTCACGAAATTAGATCTCAGGAGTGCGTAAAACCTGGTGCGTGACCGGGAGGGGACGAATGGAAGATAGCATTTAGCACCACCACAGGGCATTATGAATACCTGGTGATGCCATACGGGTTGATGAATGCTCCATCAGTCTTCCAGTCCTTTGTGAACGAGATGTTTCGGGACATGCTTGGTCATGGTGTGGTGGTCTACATCGATGACATCCTGGTGTATTCCGCTACGCGCGGCAAGCATGTATCCTTGGTTTGCAGAGTGCTTGGGCGACTGTTGGAGCATGACCTGTATGCCAAGGCAGAAAAATGTCTGTTCTTCCAACAATCCGTCTCCTTCCTCGGATACCACATCACCACCTCAGGTGTGGAGATGGAGGGAGACCACATTGCAGCCGTGCGTAATTGGCCGACTCCAACCAGGGTTAAGAAGGTGCAGTGCTTCATTGGACTTTCCACTGTGGTCGCACCAACGGAAACAGCTAGACACCTACCCTGACACTCTCACGACCACCCCTTGAGAGCCCTCTGCGGCCATCGGAGGTTTATCCGGGGCTTTGGCAAGGTCGCAGCCCCCATCACCTTTCTGTTGAAGGGTGGGCAGTCCCGGCTCCGCTGGTCTGCTGAGGCTGACAGGGCTTTCAGTACCCTGAGGTCTCTGTTCACCGCAGCCCCGGTGCTGGTCCATCCCGAACCATCATTGCCGTTCGTAGTGGAGGTGGACGCATCCGAGGTAGGGGTAGGCGCTGTCCTATACCAACGCTCGGGCACGCCACCCAAGCTCCGCCCCTGTGCCTTCTTCTCTAAGAAGCTCAGCCCGGCGGAGCAGAACTATGACATTGGTGATCGGGAGCTGTTGGCTGTTGTCAGAGCCCTGAAAGCGTGGAGAAACTGGCTCGAGGGGGCTAAATACCCTTTCCTCGTCTGGACTGACCACCGTAACCTGGAGTTCATCCGGGCAGCGAGTAGGCTGAACATTCGCCAGGCCAGGTGGGCCTTGTTCTTCACCCAGTTTGATTTCACGCTGTCCTATAAACCAGGCACTAAGAACGTGAAGGCAGACGACACAGAGGATAGGCCCATTGATAACACCCCCATACTCCCGGCCTCCTGCATTGTGGCGCCGGTGGTGTGGGCGGTGGATGCGGACATAGAGTGGACGTTACGCACAGAGCCATCTCCGCCTCAGTGCCCAGCTGGGCTTCGGTACGTTCCGTCTAGTGTCCGTGATTGTCTTATCTATTGGGCACACACATACCCCTCCTTTGGTCACCCAGGCATCGGCCGTACAGTGCGCTGCCTTACCGGGAAGTACTGGTGGCCTACCTTAGCTAAGGACGTGAGGGTGTATGTCTCCTCCTGCTCGGTGTGCGCCCAGAGAAAGGCACCTAGGCACCTTCCATTGGGTATGTTTTACGCACGTCTTCCGGCACACACTTTCGCACTGTATTTAGTTGACGCATTGCTGAGGACTGCTGTATTGGCTAATAAACCCTGTTCTTTGATTCACACATCCTGCACCTGGCTCCGTTCTACTCACCTGTTACAAGTACTAATATATTACAATAGGGACTGATAGTTCTGGATTATGAGTTTTATCCACTAAAGAAAGCAGATCATAAATGTTCATATTGAATCACTGATTTACAGTAGAAGTTATTTAAAACATGATAAAATAAACTGTATCATAGTTGACAGTTATGAATGTGGGTCCTTACCAGGAAGACTATTTACATAGGAAACTTTGCATTGGCAGCAAATTCTTAAATGCTCTGGGAGTGTTTATATCCCTGTGAGTTGAACACTTCATGACTTAGAGCTGTCCTTCATGACAACAGAACCCACAACAACCATGACTTTTATCACCATCTTCATCTGGACACTTGCCTTTTACATCAAGTGTAAATAAAATTAAGTTTCATGTTTGTATAATGAAAAGTAATCAATTTGAGTGAATTGAAGGTTGTTAAGAATGTGTTATTAATTTCTTGATTTTTTGTTTCAAAACTGAGTTAAATCTACACCATCAAAATGAATATCAATGTTAATTTTCTATTCAGAACAATTCATTAATATACGTAATATTTCATTCATTAATTCATAATATTTTTCAGAATCCAGATCACTGTAACTCAGACTCCTGCAGTGAAAGCTGTTCTCCCAGGACAGACAGTCTCTCTGAACTGTAAAACCAGCAGTGCTTGGTAATAACTATCTAGCCTGGTACCAACAGAAACCTGGAGGAGCTCCTAAACTCCTTATTTACTATGCTACAACACTTCAGTTTGGGACTCCAACTAGATACAGTGGCAGTGGATCTGGGAGTAACTCCATTCTGACCATCAGTGGGATCAGGCTGAAGATGCAGGAGATTACTACTGTCAGTGCCTGGGTGTTCACACAGTGATACAGTCGTACAAAAACCTCCCTCAGTCAGACACCACTATGGTAGTTCCAGAGAGCAGCAGGTGAAGCAGGAGACTGGAGACGTCAGAGCTCTGGAGATCTCTCCTTTAGATTAGAGTCAGTCAGCAGCATCAGTCCACACACAGACTGCATTTACTGTGCTTTTAGCTTTGATGCCCACTCATCTAAGAACACTTTGCAAAAGGATTTAAAATGTGATAATGTAATTCTGATTAGATCCAAGATTGGAGGACTGCTGACCACACACTAAACATGTTTTTAAACCTGCTCTTTCAAACTCTCATATGCACTTTGCACTGTTTTAACTTCCATTCATTGTTATGTTATATACTGAGCGAAAATATAAACGCAACATGCAACAATTTCAAAGATTTTACTGAGTTACAGTTCATATAAGGAAATTAGTCAAATGAAATAAATACATTAGGCCCTAATCTATGGATTTCACATGACTGGAAATAAAAGATATGCATTTGTTGGTCAAAGAAACCTTTAAAAAAAAGGTAGGGGCGTGGATCAGAAAACCAGTCAGTATCTGGTGTGACCACCATATGTCACATCTCCTTCGCATGGAGTTGATCAGGCTGTTGATTGTGGCCTGTGGAATGTTGTCGCACTCCTCTTCAATGGCTCTCTGAAGTTGCTGGATATGGGCGGGAACTGGAACACGCTGTTGTACACGTTGATCCAGAGCATCCCAAGCCTGCTCAATGGGTGACATGTCTGGTGACTATGCAGGCCATGGAAGAACTGGGACATTTTTTTCTTCCAGGAATTGTGTACAGATGTTTGCGATATGGGTCTGTGCATTATCATGCTGAAACGTGGTGATGGCGGCGGATAAATGGCACCACAATGGGCCTCAGGATCTTGTCACGGTATCTCCGTCCATTCAAATTGCCATTGAATAAAATGCAATTGTGTTCGTTGTCTGTAGCTTATGCCTGCCCATACCATAACCCCACCGCCACCATGGGGCACTCTGTTCACATCAGCAAACCGCTCGCCCACATGATGCCATCCACATGGTCTGCGGTTGTGAGTCCGGTTGGACGCACTGCCAAATTCTCTAAAACAACGTTGGAGGCGGCTTATGTTAGAGAAATGATCTGGCAACAGCTCTGGTGGACATTTCTGCAGTCAGCATGCCAATTGCACACCCCTCAAAACTTGAGACATCTGTGGCATTGTGTTATGTGACAAAACTGCACATTTTAGACTGGCCTTTTATTGTCCCCAGCACAAGGTGCACCTGTGTAATGATCCTGCTGTTTAATCAGCTTCTTGATATGCCACACCTGTTTTATGAATGGATTATATTGGCGAAGGAGAAATGCTCACTAATAGGGATGTAAACATATTTCAGCAGCCTGATGGTCTGGGGGTAGAAGCTGTTGGCCAGTCTGTTAGTTCTAGCCATGATGCTTCTGTACTGATCACGTCTGAGTGATGGAAGCAGGGAGAACAGAATGTGGCTTGGGTGACTGATGTCCCTGATGATTTTTTTGGGCCTTCCTGCGACATCTGGTGTTGTGCTGTAGGTGTCCTGGAGGGCATTCAGTGTGCACCCAATGGTGTGTTCGGCTGAGCGTACCACCCTCTGTGGCTTGCAGTCATCGACGGTGGAGTTGCCGTACCAGGCTATGATGCAGCCTGACAGTATGCTCTCGATGGTGCTCCTGTAGAACACTGTGAGGGCCCTCGGGGGCAGGCCAAATTTCTTCAGCCTCCTGAGGTTAAAGAGTCGCTGTCGTGCCTTCTTCAACATGGTGTCCATGTGTTTTGACCATTTCATCTCCTCTGAGATGGGTACTCCGAGGAACCTGAAGTTTTCGACCTGATTCCTCCTGAAGTCCAGAATCGGCTCCTGCACTAACACCACTCTCCCTGCAGGGGGCGAAACATGGCCAATGATCACTGGAAGGTGGAAACTGACTAGCAGTCCTCTTTTCAATATATATCAATATGTTACCATACCATATTACTATAACACTAATCAACAGACAAAGTTATATATGTTCTTTAGTTACATTAATATGATTTTTTTCTTCATATTTTCTCCAGTATTCATTATGGTATTGTCTTGCTAAACAACGTTGATAGTGATCATATGTGATAGGCTTTAAACCAATAATAGCATTGTATTTGTACCTTTTATATTCACTTAATTTATGTACGTATTAATATCGACTTCTATGATTATTAGGTGACAATTGTGGGATCAAGATCATCAGATTGTAATGGACTCTCAGTTCTAATCTGATGGATCCTTAGTGGTCTAGATTTACTGAATAATGTTGGATGGAAAGAAGACCAGAAGATTATTTGCATAGTGATGATGCTCTGCATTGGCAGCACATGGTTCAGTGGTCTGGGAGTGTTTATATCCCTGTGAGTTTAACACTTCATGACTGAGAGCTGTCCTTCATGACAACAGAACCCACAACAACCATGACTTTTATCACCATCTTCATCTGGACACTTGCTTTCTGATTTCAATGTTAACATTTTCAGAATGTATTGTTGAAAATTTATTAAATCTACACAAAGGAATCATTTATATTACCGTTCTGATTTCTGTTCAGAACAATTCATTACTATATGTAATATTTCATACATATAAATGTTTCATTATATTTTTCAGAATCCAAAGGACAGATCACTGTGACTCAGACTCCTGCAGTGAAAGCTGTTCTCCCAGAACAGACAGTCTCTCTGAACTGTAAAACCAGCATTGATGTGTATGGTACTAACTATCTAGCCTGGTATCAACAGAAACCTGGAGGAGATCCTAAACTCCTAATATACTTGGCTAAAACTCTTCAGTCTGGGACTCCATCTAGATTCAGTGGCAGTGGATCTGGGAGTGACTTCACTCTGACCATCAGGGGAGTCCAGGCTGAAGATGCAGGAGATTACTACTGTCAGAGTTACCACAGTGGTCCAGTGTTCACACAGTGATACAGAGCCGTACAAAAACCTCCCTCAGTCAGACTGCACAGTGACTGTACTGCTACAGCTGGGACCTACTGCAGGTGCTGAGGGGGAAGAGACAGTGACATGGAACACTGTAACTGTGGGTGTTGTCAGTTTAGGAATGATTTAACACGAGGGTGGATAAGTTGACATTATAGTCAGCATCACTGATATATTAAGATCAGTTTATTTTAGTTCAGTCAGACCACATAAATATGCCTTCCCTGTTGCTATGGCAAACAAACCTTTTATTAACATGTCAGACAATAAGTTGAATGGACTCCATCTATGTGAAATATTGTCTCACATGATTTCAGAATAAATATCCCAGTCTCTGCAAGGTCCCCTAGTCAGGTAGTGAGTTTCAAGCAAAGATTCAACCATATTTACTAAGATCATTTAACATGATTATAACCCACTAAAACAACCTGAGGTTCTGTCATACACGAGACAGTGACATGGAACACTGGTTAGTGAAGTCAACTTTGAATATGTTTAGAAAGCATCATTTAGATTACATTTACATTTAAGTCATTTAGCAGACACTCTTATCCAGAGCAACTTACAGTTAGTGAGTGCATACATATATATATATATATATTTATTTATTTTCATACTGGCCCCCCATGGGAATCGAACCCACAACACTGGCATTGAAAACGCCATGCTCTACCAACTGAGCTACATCCCTGCCTGCCATTCCCTTTCCTTCCCTGGACGACGCTGGGCCAATTGTGCGCCGCCCCATGGGTCTCCCAGTCGCGGCCGGCTACGACAGAGCCTGGGGATGTGCTCTGTCACATGTTCCCCATCATCATCATTGTAGTGTACCTCCAAAAGTTATTTGAAGTTCTGAAATACCCACAATACCAGTCCAATATGCAAAATAAGATGGAGAGAAGTAAAGAATAAGAAGGTGATGTTATATCAGCATCAGCCCCCCTGGATACAATTCCCATAATGCACCTCACAACCAAATATTGATGTGATCATCTAGCATTATATTAACTATTTTGGTGAGCAGGTTATTGACTGTTACATCTGTGAATGAGACATGATGCTGGATCTGTGAATGTGACATGATGCTGGGCTCAAACAGACATATTATATGTCATGAATTACATGATGGCATATCTGTTATGTCTCCCTCCCTGAATCAACCATAGAGGTTAAAACCAGTTCACTCCCTAACATCTGGCCCAGTCTAGGGTGTTTCAGGTAGTGAAACTATTGAACTGCTAGACTTGTAGCTGTGGGAGTGAAACTGAGATTTAAATAGACAGGGCTGGGTGTTTCTGCTTGTCCCAGAATAGAACAGTACTGTCACCAGATGTTCACTCTGTCCCCAGGGGGTTGGAGGTAGAGAAGACTATGACTATCTTGAAGATGTGATACTTCTAATATTATGTGGACAACTTCTAAAATAAATGTAGCTTAATGCAGGTGTGAGCACATTGGTGATCATCGAAGATATCGATAAAATTTTCAATAGCATCAGATTACTGTCAAGCAGGTCAAAAACTGTTCCAAGAAAGGTGAACAAAGATCACCTACTACATGTGGCTAAACCTCTCCTGTTAATCTGTGTAAATAGTAGTATATTGTGTTAATATGAACTACTGGTTGATGACGTTGTGGTTAGAACATAAATAACTAAGCAATGAGGTTTAGGTCGGATAGTTTTCATAGAAACTGTGAATCAGGCTTTATGAATGTATTTCAATATCATTCAACATTTAAGACTAAAGTCTAATAATTGAAAGAGAAAACTTTATTTTAATCTATTCATTAAAGCATCAAAGCAAACATTCCTACAGTATCTAATAGTAATAAAGCAGAACACATCTAATCTAACACTGATACAACCTCAGTCTACAGAGAGGATTGACACATGAACTCAAGCAAAGCCCTCTGTTAGTCTACATGTCAGTGATCAATAAGACAGATAACATCTGATCTCAGAACAGAGTCAAAGCAGAGGAACCAGCAGCCTCTCTCCACAGGGGTGTGTGACTGAGGTGTCCTACCCAGAACAGTCAGCCCTCCTCAGGGTCTTGGTGACTGGAGTCTGGGATTTCTGCTGGGCTTCACAGGTCACCTCTCCTGCCTTGGTCCACTCCTGGGCAGTGAGAGTAAGGGTGCTGCTCCAGCTGTACAGGCCGTCCTTCTCCAGGACCCCGGGACTGGCCTCCTGCTTCTTGCCGGTCCCATCCACTTTCCAGCTCATGGTCCAGTCTGAGGGGAAGCCCTTGTTGGCCAGATACGTCAGTGTGGCTGTTGTTGTACTGGACAGCTCCTCACTAGAGGGGGGCAGGACGGTGAGGGTGGGGGCACTGTTACCTGGAACGAACAGAACACATCAACTAAGTAACTACATCAAGTACAGCTACAGTAAGAAATGATCTTCAGCAAAGAACACATAAAAATAAAGTGAATTGGAAATGCCTTCTAAATATGAAAATAAAAGTTACATTGTTTAAAAGATGTGGAGAAAACACTAAATTAACATGATACAAAGCACATTTATGAACCTAACAAGTATAAAGTGGTTAAATAACTAGAGTTACTATTCATATGGTGTCAGTTACACATGTCATACAGATATTGTTTAGGAATGGATCTGATCAGAATAGCCTACTCATATTCATAGTATTTGCAGAATTTGAGCATAAATTAATTTTAAATACGTATCAAACATGTTAGATCATGAAGTCGGTTTCAAACTGAGACCGTTTGTCTTCACAGTAACAGTGAAGGCTACCATGAACACAATGCAACAATGATGCTTACTATATCCAATACTATTCAAATGTAATTTGAAAAACATCTAAAATATCTAAAATCAAAATATTTTAATAGAGACAGAGTTTAGGAAAGTAAATACCACATTTTATCAGAAAGAAATATAAAGAGAGCTTGTTACTTACTTCCAACATCAAGTATGGTGCCGCTACCAAAAGTCCACCACAGTGATACAATCCCTATTACTGCTCGTACAAAAACCACTTGACCATTTGGCAAGCTGAATTTCTTTAGACTGGGTTTTAAATCATTGAATCTACTATGGTATGAATACTTGTCAAAGATGACTTTATCTTGTTCATTTGAAATAAAGTATTTTCTGTTTTGTTTCCCCAAAATTTTTTGCAAAACCTACTGTTTATTGTACATTTCTTAAAAGGTGCAGTATGTTTATTCATACAACTCATCTAAAATGAAGACTAATCACTCTCATCGTTTAAAGGCAGCTTCAAAGTTGATTAGATGTAATAACATTATATTCTAACTGGCCATTGTATATTTCCCCCAAGAATCATGTAAAAAAAGGTATGTTAAAAAATCCTCAATATCGAGGCTAAATTGATAGAGAAATTGAAAGACTACATCAAAAGGAAAATAAAATGGTTAATTTTGTGTTTACTTACTTCCAACATCTAGTCTGGTGCCGCTACCAAAAGTCCACCACAGTGATACAATCCCTATTACTGCTCGTACAAAAACCTCTCTGTGTTCAAATCAAAACAAATCAAATCAAATTTTATTGGCCACATGCGCCGAATACAACAGGTGCAGACATTACAGTGAAATGCTTACTTACAGCCCTTAACCAACAGTGCATTTATTTTTTTATAAAAGAGTAAAATAAAACAACAACAAAAAAGTTTTGAGAAAAAAAGAGCAGAATAAAATAACAGTAGGGAGGCTATATATACAGGGGGGTACCGGTGCAGAGTCAATGTGCGGGGACACCGGCTAGTTGAGGTAGTTGAAGTAATATGTACATGTGGGTAGAGTTAAAGTGACTATACATAAATACTTAATAATAACAGAGTGTGTGGGGGGGGGGGGGGGCAGTGCAAATAGTCCGGGTAGCCATGATTAGCTGTTCAGTAGTCTTATGGCTTGGGGGTAGAAGCTGATGAAAAGTATTTTGGACCTAGACTTGGCACTCCTGTACCGCTTGCCGTGCGGTAGCAGAAAGAACATTCAATGACTAGGGTGGCTGGAGTCTTTGACAATTTTGAGGGCCTTCCTCTGACACCTCCTGGTATTGAGGTCCTGGATAGCAGGAAGCTTGGCCCCAGTGATGTACTGGGCCGTACGCAATACCCTCTGTAGTGCCTTGCGGTCAGAGGCCGAGCAGTTGCCATACCAGGCGGTGATGCAACCAGTCAGGATGCTCTCGATGGTGCAGCTGTAGAATTTCTTGAGAATCTGAGGACCCATGCCAAATCTTTTCACTCTCCTGAGTGGGAATAGGCTTTGTCGTGCCCTCTTCACGACTGTCTTGGTGTGTTTGGACCATGATAGTTCATTGGTGATGTGGACACCAAGGAACTTGAAGCTCTCAACCTGTTCCACTACAGCCCCGTCGATGAGAATGGGGGCATGCTCAGTCCTCTTTTTTTTCCTGTAGTCCACAATCATCTCCTTTGTCTTGGTAATGTTGAGGGAGAGGTTGTTATCCTGGTACCACACTGCCAGGTCTCTGACCTCCTCCCTATAGGCTGTCTCATCGTTGTCGGTGATCAGGCCTACCACTGTTGTGTCGTCGGCATACTTAATGATGGTGTTGGAATCGTGCCTGGCCATGCAGTCATGGGTGAACAGGGAGTAAAGGAGGGGACTGAGCACGCACCCCTGAGGGTGTGTTGAGGATCAGTGTGGCAGATGTGTTGTTACCTACCCTTACCACCTGGGGTCGGCCCGTCAGGAAGTCCAGGATCCAGTCCCAGGATCCTTAGCTTAGTGATGAGCTTTGAGGGCACTATGGTGTTGAATGCTGTGCTGTAGTCGTTGAATAGCATTCTCACGTAGGTGTTCCTCTTGTCCAGGTGGGAAAGGGAAGTGTGGAGTGCAATAGAGATTGCATCATCTGTGGATCTGTTGGGACGGTATGCAAATTGGACTGGGTCTAGGGTTTCTGGGTTAATGGTGTTGGTGTGAGCCATGACCAGCCTTTCAAAGCACTTCATGGCTACAGACATCAGTACTATGGGTCGGTAGTCATTTAGGCAGGTTATCTTCGTGTCCTTTGGCACGGGGACAATGGTGGTCTGCTTGAAACATGTTGGTATTACAGACTCAGTCAGGGACATGTTGAAAATGTCAATGAAGACACTTGCCAGTTGGTCAGCCCATGCTCGGAGTACACGTCCTGGTAATCCATCTGGCCCTGCGGCCTTGTGAATGTTGACCTGCTTAAAAGTCTTACTCACATTGGCTACGGAGAGCGTGATCACATAGTCATCCGGAACAGCTGGTGCTCTCATGCATGCTTCAGTGTTGCTTGCCTCCAAGCGAGCATAGATGTGGTTTAGCTCGTTTGAAAGTCTTGTGTCACTGGGCATCTCGCGGCTGTGCTTCCCTTTGTAGTCTGTAATAGTTTTCAAGCCCTGCCACATCCGACGAGCGTTAGAGTCGGTTTAGGACGATTAAATCTTAGTCCTGTATTGACTCTTTGCCTGTTTGATGGTTCGTCGGAGGGCATAGAGGGATTTATTATAAGCGTCCTGGTTAGAGTCCCGCTCCTTGAAAGCGGCAGCTCTACCCTTTAGCTCAGTGCGGATGTTGCCTGTAATCCATGGCTTCTGGTTGGGTTATGTACGTACGGTCACTGTGGGGATGTGTTGTGATGCTGCAGCTGTTACAGTGAAGATCACTCATACAGAAACATAATCAACACAAATACACTTTAACATCTTCCAGGTAGAACAAACACTTCATATTAGCTTTTTCTAGATAATACAAATATGAATTGTATCTTAAATCCAGATATGAGTATTTTTTCCTTCTTCTGTGTATCATTTGTTCTCCTAGTCTGTAGGTACAGTCCAGCATTAGATCCAGTGTTGCTAGTATTCCTCCATATTGTCCATATGAAAGACAACAGCAGCAGCAGTACTGATAGTGATCCATGTTGTATATTCCTTTATTACATTTAACAGTGGTGGTAAAGTCACAGAGGACAGACAACACTACCAGAGGAATCCTACCAGCTTTAGTTTAGAGAAGTGTTCACTAACTGATTAGAGGAACTTACATGAGAGACCAAGCATGAGTGAACAGACAGTTAATTATATCTGATCATCATCAGAATAAAAATACAATGGTGGTGTGACATAAAAGTTGCTGTGCATTAGTTATCAGATTAAACAGGTGTTGTTTGATGTTATAATAGCAAAATCATCAGGTTGTAATGGACTCTCATCTAATCTGATGGATCCTTAGTGGTCTAGATTTACTGAATAATGGTGGATGGGAAGAAGACCAGAAGATTATTTGCATAGTGATGATGCTCTGCATAGACAGCACATGTTTCAGTGGTCTGGGAGTGTTTATATCCCTGTGAGTTTAACACTTCATGACTGAGAGCTGTCCTTCATGACAACAGAACCCACAACAACCATGACCTTTATCACTATCTTCATCTGGACACTTGCCCTCTGCTTCAAGGGTAAAAAACAATAGGAGTTATGTGTTTGTTTAATGAAAAGTAAACAATTTGAGTGTATTGAAAGATTGTTAAGATTGTTTTATTAATTCCTGGTGATGTACAATTATTAGTGTTCTCTCTGTTTCAGAATCTACAGGACAGTGTAGTATCGAGTAAATGCTGGCAATTATTGCTGATAAACAAAGGAGTCCGCTCATACTGAACCTTTGATCATAAGTTTATTCATATCACAAGATTCCAGCATAAGTGACGGATGTCATGACACCCGGAGAGCAGTGTCCTCGAATTGTAATGTCTGCTCTAACCTCTTCTTCGTTTTCCCCCCAGTATATATAATCTCCCCGAGATATGGGTGGCTCCCTCTACTGTCCAATCCCCTGTCTACAACACACAGACTTCTCTGTCCTATCCGGGGTGTCACATTAAACCATTCCCTCTGACACTAAAATAAACGTCCTCTCCGGTTCCACTTAAAAACATTAACAACGTCATAATCTTCATATACGACATTCCCCCCTTCGAGACTAAACAGTCTCGAAACCAAACAGAATAGGATTATGACAAGTAACAATTTATCTTATTGAGTATCTTTAACATTAAACCAAAAACATTTCCCTCTGGAGTGTAAATACCTTTCTATGAAATATGAATAAATGTTTATGAAGTGTGAATACATTACTATGAAATATGAACAAATCTTTATGGAGTGTGAGAGCAAAAAACTGTCTGGCAACTTCGTTCCAAATATCCATCCATCAATCAAGACAGTAAAATTTTCTCACGGTCCCTCTGCCCCAGGCAACCACCTAGGTACTCCCGATGAACTCATAAATCCTTATCAATGCATTTGAAACTATGATGCAATTAAATACACATGTAAGCCCCTGCAAACAAAATACTATCCAAAATGTCCACACCAAGGCTGGTCAACCCATCGGACCCTATAGTGGACCTCACCCTGCCTAGACTCCCTGTCCCTAAGCATTCACGAAATAAACAAAAACATCTAAGATCCCCACATGTATTCAATAATCCTTCAAATATCCTTCTACAAAAATTAATACCTAAGAAAATGACACACATTACGTATTACACAAGCAAATATGTCTATATTTCATTGCAGACACTGGAATGTAGTCCACTACACTTCCTCTCCTCCGTAGTCTCCTCTTCCAATGCATTGTTGATGATGGAATCGGAACCTTTCCACCCCTTTCTTGTTCCATCTCCTCCAGTCATTCTCCTTTCATATTGTCCCTTCATATTGTCCTTGTTTGAGTATTTCAATCTCTACATTTTCCCCCAACTGCTTCTGGAAGAAAAGAAAAGACCAAACAGTATCTTTTGCAAAACAACATTTTCAAATTAAACATCAACATCAACTAAGAATATAAAAATGATATATAAATGATGTATGAATCACATCATCCTATTTCCCCCCTTTGATTCATAACATCATACTAAAATCACACTAATATTGAAAAAAAAAATTGAAAAATGATCAAATAATCAAAAAGGATATTTATCATCAATACTCCATCCAGTCCCCCTTCTCCATCTTCATCCAGATCAGGAACAGTCAACAACGGCATCTGAGTGTTGTCTCCAGGCATCACTACTCCAACCTATCTCAATA